CATCAATAAGAGGACAGGCAGATAAAGCTGACGTCAACGAGCGCGCGTGACAATTAATTACTGTGACAATGTGATGACGCAATTTATCGTTAATAAGGGGGCTGACACAAAAAAAACTGATGTCTATTTGTTAAGTAGTACTATTTTATAAAATAACTAAGATATAACGCGCGCTCTGATTGGTCAATTACCGTTTCCTATAACTCAACATAGATCGTGAGGAAATGACGTCAGAAAGGCAAGCGATGTTTTATTATTTCTTTTCAGTTAATCGTTAGTTATATCTTAGTTATTTTGTAAAAGAGATAGAAAACTCCCCTTGCTTCTGCTATGTTGAGTTAAACAAGCACTTGGGAAATTGCTTGAGCCCTCGAGAAGTGCCGAAAAGCACCTAGCACTTCTCTCGGACGTTTTTTCTCTCGGGACAATTTCCCGCGTGCTTGTATAACTCAAAGTAGCACGCGATCGTTTTCTTTGTCTTCATTGAATGAGTGTTGCAAAACTGGTGATGCAGTGAAGCAAGAAAGAATTTGACTCACCGCTTCGTTGGGGAATCCAGAAACTTTTGAAGCTTTTCTGAACAAAAAAGGAAAATGTATTAAATGCTACATAAAATGATCAAGTCTGGCTGCATGTCATGATTATCTATAAAGTGAAAGACAGGGAAAGGAAAGGGAAAGAGAAAGAAAAAGAAAAAGAAAGGATGGGTAGAAAATTGCAATAGAAAAAATAAATATATAAGGGAAAGAGGGGAATAGAACGAAAAGAAAAGGAAAGGAAAAAAAGGAAAAAAAAGAAAAGGAAAAGGATGACTAGGTGCTAGAAGGAAGGAAGAAAAACAAAATGGATCGTCAAATGGAGAAAAAATGTAGATTTAGGGCGTTTCCCATTAAATTGCACCAATCGGTCTGAGCGGCCAGTTCTCAAATAGTATGCGTTAGTTCTAAGAACTGGTTGGGACATGTACCAATTGAGAATAGCAGGGGCGGCGGAAGCTGAAAAACTTTGGGGGCACTGAAATATTGTATTTAACGCTATGTGATAATGACCACTGTTTTGTTTGATTGCAGACGCATGCGCCGTAAAACAAGGACTGAGAAACAATATTTTGTTGGGGGCTCTGCCGCCCCTGAACTGGTCACTTGAATCAATTGGTTCTAACAAAGTGGTTAGGAGACCACATTTTTTTGAAAGTCAGCTTTTTGGGGGGAAAATTGAGTCTTCGAAAGTCGTTAATGCACTTACTGCTTCACAGTTTTCTCAATCTTGGACATATCATCTTCACACACTTTGAAGTTGCTCCAGTCTTGAAATCTTTGAAGAATAAAACAGATAATTTGTGTAGATTGACTAACTGTTAAGAAAAACTAAACCTATAAATAACTAGGTCCCTTCTTGGGACATGGCTTTGAATTTGCCACTAAACCACTGGAATACCATAGATTTAAGGAATATAAAATGCACACGGATGTCTCTGTACTGTAATATAAACACACTGAGAGCTATAGAGCAAGAGAGAAACAATAAACATAAGGGATAGTTGAGTGCTTCTCTTGCTTCTTGAGCTCTGTACTATTACCAGAGAATTTATATCACAGTACACACACTGTAAGCAGCTGTTTAAATTATATTGCTTATATATAACATTTTTGAACAATTTTGCATGAATGTCTGTCGTCTTATATGAACAAGGTGTAGAGCAGAGCAGAGGTGTAGTCTAGAGCATTTATGTCACTGACAGTACACACACTATAAGCAGCCGTTATATATTGCTTATACATAATGTTTTTGAACAATTTTGCATGAGTGTCTCTCTGTCCTCTGATATAAACAAGGTAGCCAGCCAATCAGTGGGTGTTATATCTCCAATATTTTATAATATTATAGCATGATTATAATGGTACCTCTGAAGTAGGTTAACACCTTGTAAGGCTTGCACGAGTTTCAATCCCATCTCTTTACCAACACCTGGTACTCCTTGAGGAAGATAGTCACAGCCAAGAAGAATAGCAAGACTGACAAGCTTTTCCCTGTTCAGACCTAGTATTCAATTATGAAACAACAATAGAAAGTCAGAATATGATGCAGGCCAGAGCTGCATAGTTGTTCTTTTACTTCCCTCCAATGTYCCAATCATTTTCAACCAGCCCATGGCAGTCTTTGAGTATAGTCTAAATGGGTAACAGTATTTTGCATGGAAATTCAAAGAATTTTTTGCATTGTCTTCATACCACAGTTTGCATTTAGGCACAAACACCAGACATCAAAACATGTTTATCTGGCTTCCAAAACTTTCAAATGAGACTGCCATTGAAATCGATAAATGTTAAAACATTTTTAGCCGACAAACAACAAGTGTCAAGGAGCCAGTTAGAATAGCTTTGATGCCTGGTTTTGCATGCCTAGATCATGCAAATAAAAAGCTTTACATTAAGAAATAAAGTATTTTTTACATTAAGTTTAACTTACAAATTTTAGTCTCAACATCATCCATACAATAAAAGTCCATCGTGCACTCCTAGTTAAAGACATCAAAAAATTATGATCAATAAACTTAGTAAAAATGTACTGCAGTCAGCACAAACTGCTCATGTAACCTTTCTGAGAAACATATTTAAGAATATAATTTTAGACTTGAATATAAAGTTTTGCAAGCTGTGATTATGAGACAATATTTGCTGCTTAAGCAGTAATTATAAGGTTTCTCAAAGTTTGCCACAGTGGAAGTATACATGTATAATACTAAAACGTTTTTTCATCCAGAATTTTGTCTTTTCTCTGATATACAAGCCTAATAGACCCCTTGCACTGAGTCCTGAGAGGAATTGTTCTGGAGGACAAAACAATGGATGTTTTTTTTTTGCATAAGAAAAGACGGCCTATTGTTTTGTCCTCCAGAACAATTCCTCTAGGAATTCAATGCAAGGGATCTATATTATAGAATATACTAAAACAATTATATACCTTAGGCTCTGGGAATATAGGGAATATTTATCTTGCTGCTTAAAGACTATGCAGCTTGGTAAATAATACTTGATATCCACTTTATTACTGATATTATTATTGTTAATTATTATTATTGTTGAATATCTTTAAATCTTGTATGGCTATAGCATTGACTTTCTCATGAAGGTATAGAGTGAACTTAGACCTTTCTTTGGATGTCAGAGATACAACAGTCTTCACTTTAAACTTGGATTTTTGGACTGACATGCTTGGTCATCACATTTTGAACAAAATATGAAAA